TGCCTCTTATTCTACTCGATTCCCCTGACATCTGTTTGTCTTAATTCCAAAATAATACTCTCAACCTTTTTTTTTTTTTTTTCTTTTCTTTTTGAGAAGTCAGCTTTCAATTAATCCAAAATGCTGAACTTGTGACTTTGCAGATGGCAGTGCAGTTAGTGACTGATGTATCTTCATAGGCATGAGATAGTGGCTCGCAGGGGAGATCAAAAGGAAACTGAGATGCAAGAAAAAGCTGCTGTTATTAGCTGTCAGTGGATTAGCTTACTGTATCTGCAGCAAGTTCCTTGTGGTTGCAGGAAATCATCTCTTAGTATGAGAGAGCACTCCTGTTCCAAGTATCTGCTAGAGAGCATCAGCAGGAACATTAAGAAACAGGTTAAAAATAAACAAACAAAAAAATCCAAACCACTTCATGCTCTTAAGTCTTTGGTTGTGCTGTCAACAGTGAACTGGCTCTGGAAATTTTCTCTTGGATGCATCCTTCTGTCTGAGAAAGTAGTCCACAGCATCTGAGGGAATCCTACAGCTGGTAAAAAGGAATTTGTTTCTCTGGTATCTGTGCAGCTGTGCCTACTTGTGCCTGTTGAAAGTCATGCTTTTTAAGTTGATCTGTCATATGAACCTGACAGCAAAAATGTGTTGCTGAGGATTTCATGCGCTTGCTGGCCACTAATGAATGCAGCCGCAGTGAAGCACCCAAGCTGAGCAGGCTGCGATCTGCTTTCAGCAGCCTTCACAGCATCATCGCCTCTCCAAGCTGCTGTCAAGCTGCCAGGACACAAAACTGCCAATTACTGAGCAGTTCCTGTCTTCTTCAGGTGCTATTCAGGGCTTGGGAGATTCCAGCTCCAGTTTTATCTGAATACTGGCAGCCTGCCATGCATTTGTATGAGCTTGACTGCAAAGGTCAGAGCAATTTCATGCTTCTCGCTGAGAGCCAAGGTGTTGTCGGAGATGTGCTCTTGCACAAGAGATTGGATCTTTTGGTAGGCTTATTTTGAAGCCCCATGATTGCAGAGCAGCTACACTGCAGCCACTGAAAATACTGAATGTTCAAAACATGTAAGGCAAGAAGACACGGGTGCACCAGAAAATGTCCAGTGGAGAACAACCAAGAGGATGAAGAGTCTGGAGCATCTCTCATGTGAGAAGAGGCTGAAAGAGCTGGGCCTGTTCAGAGGAGGAGGCTTATGGGGATCTTAATGTATACAAACACCTGAAGGGAGAACGCAATGAAGATGGAGACAGAACTCTTCTCAACAGTTCCCAGTGCCAGGTACCGGAGGCAATGGGCACAAACTGGACATGGGCCTGGGCACACTGCTCTGGAAGTTGCAGCATGAGCAGAGGTTGGAGCAGATGGGCAGAGATGTCTCTAGCAACCTCACTCCTTCTGCAAGTCTGTAAAGCACTAACTAGGAACACGTGTCTCCTTATTTCTTATCTAGGCAAGGACTAGCACAAAGGGAGATGTTTGTGTGTTCATCTGAATGCAAGTGCTGTACCAGGATGGCAGCATTCTTGCCAATACAAGTGGGAAGAAGCCATATCAGCACACTCATGCATGCGCTGCTGAGTTTATCAGCTACAAAGGGAAAGCCCTTCTGGTCTCTCTGTTCTTTTTCTCTGATGAGAAGGATGTGGCATTGTATCCCAAAAGCCACTGCTGGGGTGAGATTGCCTGGAAGGCTCCCTGTCTACATTGGTTGTTAAAGGAAAGTACACTTGAGCTTCAAGTAAAGTATATTGACACTTGTTGATGTGTACAATTTGTCCCCAGATTTTTCAATCTCTAACCATCCTGTGAACAGTCAGAAAGCTGGACAAGCCACCTGTTTGTATAAAGAGAAACAAAAAATACAATTTGTTTCTAATAATTCCCTTCATGAGGAGCGCAAGATGGGAGCAGCTTTTTGGCTGTTCAGGTCATCAGACGAGCCATAATCTACATGTTTTATGCTTCTGCACGATCTCCTGGCCACCTGTGTCATGTCCATCTGTTGATCTGGGCATGAAGTCTACTGATATGGCTATACAGATAACTTTTTTTTTCAGGAAGTGATGTTAATGAACAAATCTTTGCAGTTTGCAGTTACAAAATGCCATCCATTCTACATGAAGTCCCTCTGTTGACCATTATCATAGCAGTGTCATTTACTTCTTATTACTTCTAAGGCATTTTGGGAGATTCATGTAGAATAAATGTAAATGTGTCTTGGCAATGATGGTGTACGAATATTCAGAGACAATCCTTGTCCCTCTATGATTATATCTGAGCATTTCAAGTGTATTCAGCTTAAAGCTGCACAATGCTTTTCTGTGAATAGTAAATTTGCTGAAGAATGAAGCTTTAGAATAACCACATCTATTTTCCATGTAAAGTGATTGTTGTTAGCCAGCTGTAAATGGAAAAGGATGTGGTAAAACTGGCTTCCAGGACTGACAAGGCTGTATGTGTATTCCTCTCCACCACTGCAAAGGCAGCTGAAGCTGTGTACTCGAGTTCCTTGTGCTGTGAAAGGAAGTTTGAGCCCCTCCCAGGGGGGTGCCTCACATTGAGAAGAGTGCAATATGCTTAAAGCCTTTTCTACCTTTCATAAGCTATTAGAGAATTTTTAGGATAGGGTCTGAAGGCTCCAATGCATAGGTGAATATTGAATATTGAGATTATTTTCCCCCTCAGTGACTGAGTTTTCTGATGAAAAAGGAAGAACTTTCCTAGGATGGACCCAACTCCTATACCTGACAGGTTGTCCTGCTGCTCTTCAGGGAAAGAATAGCAAAGCTGTTTGGGGGAACGCTTACTTACAGGTGTGATAAGTCCCATAGCTGGTATGTAGGACAGTGAATTTCTGCCAGGGTACATTGGCCTTTGCTGGCCCTCTACATCCAACTGTGTCTGTTCTTTCTACAGAAAAGAATGCCAAATGCAATGCTATGAAATTATTGTTTTGCTTCATATGTTCAAGTTGGATAAATTTCTTGCTTGGATGACACGGGCTTTGTCTCCATTACTTACTCCATACAGAAAGACCAGATCTGCACAGTCAAACAGTGATGAAGAACCATGCAGATCTCAGGGGTTTTGCTTTGGAACAGCTTTACTTTAATCCCACCAGGACATGTTGAAAGAAACTTGTGGCAAATCAGCAGACCAAATATTGAATTTTGAAAGTGTCAGCAAAATCTTTTAAATTAGTACTAACATTTTCTTCTACCAGAAGAAAGACTCCAAAGAATCTGACATGTTCATGAGATACTTCTATGTTACTGAAGTTTGATTTTTTGTTGGTAGTTGTATCAGATGAAATTTTAGCTGATGCTTCTTGAGGTTTTCTGACATCCTATTCAAACCCATATATCTTGCTGTGTGTGTGATTTTTACCAAAGGGGTTTTCATATCAAATGAACTCAGAGCGCATAAAAAAGGTGCTCTTATACTTATCTCTCTACCTGTGCCAAAGAAAGGAAAATGTCCACTGCCAGTTTTCTTGTTCTGACTCTGCTGTGTGATTATGAAATCAGTTGTGATGCATACACATGTCTCAGCCACAAGCAACTGAGAAAGAGGAGGCAGTAACAAGATGAGAAAGTCATTCAAGAGCTGAGAAAAAAATTAGGGATCATGTTTGGGAGAACATCCCAGCTGCTAAGCAGGAGGCGCTGGTAAGGCTTGTGCAGAAGTAACATGGATTCTCCTTGCCTACTTGCCTACTTGCTACTGGTGCTCTGAAGGCTGCAGCGACTCTGGAAAGGGAGCAGATAATCAAAGGTGAATCACAGTGATTTTCTCATGCTCAGGTGATACTCAGAAGTATCACCTCGTACAGCCCACAGACCAGAACAGTAAGTTCTCCTGCTTCTTAACAAGTTTGTTTTTTAAGTATTGAATTTTACTAGTCACTCTGGCTGACATCTCTGTCACTTGCACCCGATGGAGCATATTCAGGAAACTTTACTGTTTTTCTGCTATGTGCTTTGTGTAGTGTTAAACATCACTGAGGGTGCTGGTATGTGTGAACTGCCTACAGCTTCCTGCCAGATGTCTCATTCATCTTGGCATGCCAAAAGTACATGGGAAGGAGAGGTTATATTCTTGCTAAAGTACTGTTTTTGAAGTAGTATTCAAGTCTAAAATCAAGAATGATGTAGATATCAGTTAATCAAGAATAATGTAGAATCAGCTATTGGCTACTTAAAGAAGTTGTAACCTGATGTAGATTTTGTAGCAAGAGTTAAATAAAACTATAAAAGCAGAGAATCTATACATTGCCTTCCCCAACTAGTCTCTCTTCTAACTTGCACATTACAAATATTAACTGCTTTTAAACCTACTCGCTGTGTAACTCCTACCTTCTTAAACATTGTCCCTGAGTGTCACTTGGTGCCTGCTGCTATATTTTTGTGGTGCCACTTATCCTAAAGAATTCTCTGAGATTTTTCTCAAGTTGAGAATAAATGGCTATGGTATCATAATCTAATGGAAATACAAATCTCTATGCGGACATAATAAAAGCAAATCTTACAAGTCTTAAAGTTTTTATAAGGCCAGAATTTCTATTTGATTATTGCTTAGTATTGCTTGTTCAACATGTAACTTGGATTCTTTTTTAGTACACCTTTAGGAAATAAGAACAACAACACAGACTTCAAAATCTAATTTAAAGATTTCTATGCCTGAAAATGTAAAGAAAAATGTCACTAAAGTGATCAATTTTCGGAAAAATTATTAGTGTTCATGAAGGGTTTGTGAGGAGATGAAATCAGAAACATTTTATGCTTTGGAGCTAGCAGGATACCAGATGGTTTTTAACTGTCTGTTCAGGTTCAGTGTTTTAGAAGAGAGTCAGAAATTTGTCAGGAATTTCTCTAGGCTCTGGAAAGGTGTGCAGATCAATTGCAAATCCGTGTGTGAGTAACAGCTTGTAGGTGGATTTTGAAATGAGTAGAAAAATGTTTGTATGATGAGCAACAGACTTTTCTCTCTCATTTTACAGATTCCAGAATCTGCTTTGGTCTCGAAAAGCATTTGTGGACAGCGTGAAGGTGTATAATCACAGTTACATCTATATGCCGGCCTTCTCAATGAAGACAGGGACGGGCCCCTCCCTGCGTGTCTATTACACCCTGAAGGACTTCGGTGCCAAGCAGGCGGTGCTTTTCGCCAACCCCAATTTCCTGCGTGACATTGGCAAGTTTTGGAAGAGCAAAGGTATCCATGCCAAACGACTTTCCACGGGACTTTTCCTAGTCAGTGCTGCCCTTGGTCTCTGTGAAGAAGTAACAATTTATGGCTTCTGGCCGTTCTCGGTGGACCTGCATGGGAAGTTTATTAGCCACCATTACTATGACAATGTCTTGCCCGATTCCGGATTCCATGCCATGCCGGAGGAATTTCTACAGCTCTGGTTCCTTCATAAAAGTGGTGTACTGAGAATGCAGCTAGAACAGTGTGAGGACCCTTTAACCCAGTCTTCTGCCTAAGGATCGTAGCAGTCGGTTTGGGAGATCCACTAGTTTTTAATTTCCTTGCTCTCCTACAGAGAGTTCTGATCTTCTGTTGATTCTTTTTAAAGGGAAAATAATCATGGATCTGCATGGACCGTAAAAATGCTGCTTGAAAGCCAAATGGAATAAGTCCTTAATGTATGTTCTATGGAACTGCGGTGGGGGAAACAAACCTCTCCATCAAGTCCATTCAGCAGTAATGTGAAAATAATGTCAGAAGCAACTCAAATGAACTTTCTGGGTGACGTTTTTAAATGATGTAAGAAGGGCATTAAGGCTCAGAGAGAAATGGGGCCACCCACAAGCTTTTGCTGACAGTGCCAAATATGACTGTCTGTTCAAAGATCCATTTCATTCCAGATTGGCGCCTCATATAACTCTTTTGTTTTGTTTTGTTTTTCCTTCCCTTGTGAGTGTGCTTGTGTGTAGTGGTAAGGGGTGTAGAGGAAAGTGTGTGTATTGTTAACTTTCTTTGTTTCTTTTTTTCCATTTTTTGTTTTCCAATGGAAGAAAGGTGGAAGGTGTGAAAGCCTGAGGAGCTGAGTACCATCAACTCCTAAGACTTGTGAATGTGAAGGGTGCTAAGAATCTGGTAGAAGAATGTATTGGGAATGCCCTGCTACTGAATATGGATGAACCTACCTGTTGTAGGTTTTGTCAGGATAGTTTGGTCATTGCACTTATATCCATATTAATGCTACCTTATGGGCAACAGCTGGTTAAGGTAAATTGGCTTGAAGATAAAAGTTGTGGTACAAAAACAAAAGTGCAGTGCAACCAGGTTTTAAGTGACCAGCTGCAAGATTTCCATAGTGACTTTGGTAGCAGGGATTGCTCCTTACTTGTTGTGCTGTTTTGCCTTTGGGATTAGTTCCGTGTTCATTTGGACTCCAGATGTTCAGTGACTATCAAGGGGATTTGAGGTGTTCAGTGAAATGCAAGATAAGATTCTTCATGTGCTTCTAACAGAAAAACTGCAGAAATGAATGTAAGTGTCATTTAAAATCAGTTGAAACTTTGAAAATCCTTTCTCTTTGTGCTACTAGCTCCTCTTTTCGGATTGTAACATTAGCCTTAAAGACTTGTACTTCTGTTGCAAGATTGTCTCTGGTTAAAGAGAGCCTGAAAAGTAAAACAGCCTTTGGGAGCGCTGAAAAACAATATAGCCAGCGAGAAAAAAATGAAACAAAGCAAACAAACAAAAAAAAACCACCTGAAAAGGCAGGCACTTACGTAATGCAGCCTTTCTCTTTGCAATCAGAGAATTATGTAAGCGTGCAAATTGCACTGCGGCTGCTCCGGTCAGTGCAGTGCCTAAAGGACTGTTTTATTTTTGGATATTACTTGGACAGCAGATGATCCTATTGCCATGTAAATGAGAAATCTTTTTGTTTGCTTTGTTCTAACACTGTAGGACAGGAAGAAAATACCTACTTAGTCCAGAGTGCAATTTCAGCTGCAAGATGCTATCACTGTTAACTTTATAATCCAAAATAATGTTCTCTTTCTTCTACTTCTATCGTTAGTAGCTGAAATTCTAGTCAAAATGTTGAAACAACAAAACTGTCGTCAGGTTTCCACAACAATTTCCTGTGCTACCTGTTTTAGCTCCAAAGTGCTAGCATTTTGGGGAATGTGTCCTATCATATGTTGGCAACTGCTCTCTTTGTAGACTACAAGCTGCAAGTTATATAGATATAATTAAAAAAAAAAAAAAGCAACACCCCTGGCTCTTCTTTAAATATGAGTAATTCGACTATCTATGTAGGACATTGAAAAAAAGCCTTATTTTGCTTTTTAAAAATGTGTTTTGGAATAAAATCTTCTTCCTAAATATGGGTATTCCAAATATACATTTGGGTATTGTTCCTTAGGATTACAGTGTAGCTCTAAATTGCAAAGGGGAGATTTGGATTAAATGCTGTTTTAGAGATTGTTCTGATAAAATCTGAATGTGCTTCTGTAACCCATTTTATCTCTGTCCATATGCTTTTTTTGAAGTACAATCAACACATCAATAGACCATCACTGATAATTCATTCACTTGGATTATATTTTATCTATGATATGGATACTCAGTAAGGAAGGATTTTCTTTACTGCTCATTAGGACAAATTTTTACTGAGCTGCCTTTTGTAGAAAACAGGTGCCTGTATGGGTTTTATGAGATGTATGAAGTTTTGCACTTTTTAGTTCTTAAAAGAAGATGCTATCTGTGAGAACAGCAGTCAAAATATTGTATGTTAAGATGACACTTCAGAAGGATGCCACCATTTCCCAGGGGTGTGGGGAAACTAGGAGAGTAGGGGAGAACTGCCTCTGTGCTTGTTATTTTTGTCATTTGTTCCAGGACTTGAGAATTCAGTTCTGAACTTCTCTGGTGACTCTCCGACACCCTGGAAATCCCTTCTCTCATGTCCTGGGGAAAAGATCTCAGTAAAAGAAGAGAAAAAATGAGTATTTTCATAGGAAACCTCAATGCAGTATTTCATAACAACTGGCTTGCTTGTGTTCAGTTAGTGCCCCATGTACCTAGGAGCACTGTATTCTCCCTAAGGCTGAAGCTGACTGAATCTTGTCTTTGTGTGCCCCTTTTGATGTTTGCAATCCTGAGGTTTGCAAGGAGATGGTTTTCAAAAAATGATGGGGATTGAAGAAAATACGTTGTTTGTGATAAGTGTGGCTAATGTTGGAAAAATTGGTAGTTTGGGCTCTGTTCATATCTATTTAGAGAGAATATAACTGCATCTTACAATGGCAACCACATTTGATAGGGAAGTAAAGGCTTTGGGGATAAATAATTTTCTATAACTTCCAGAAAACTAGTAGCTTAGGAAAGGAGAGAAACAAAAATAAGTTCCTCTTCTGAGAAGGCAAGTCTACAATGGGAGCTCAACAGAAACCTGTTTTAGTTGGCTGACTTGGCACTCCACACAGGCACACTGGCCAAGAAGAAAGTTTTTGCCCTACAAGTGAAAAAGGATGCAGGAGGGTTCTGTAAGTATTTTGTGGCAAGAGCAGTCACAGAGAAAATAAAAATCTGTTGGGAATCTGAGAATGGCAACTGCCTAACAAGAATCTTGGAGTTAATACACTCCATTATTTCTGCTACTTAGTGTGAGATTTACCTGGTACAAGTCTAGGGGAAGTGGGACCCATGTATTGGGATTCTTGGTATGAAATGTGGAGTTACATGTAAGGGTTTGAAGTTGTATCACTTTTGAAGAGGAAGGCTACACCAGGGAATAGGTGTGGTCACATCCAGGACTTAAGCATTAACACAGAAATCAGCTTCTCGGAGTTAACAAACTGTGAGTGGAATGAATATATCCATCTGCATTTAGCTGGGTGGTTAATTTCTGTCCATTGACAGTAGTGTCCTGAGATTTCATTGCTTTAGTAGAAGTGAATAGAAATCTTAAGGTCTTTTAATGAAATTCCTTACTTTAGTTTTTCTATTTCCACTGCCAGCCCCTGAGTTTCTCCAGTATTGAGGTTAATGCCTGCACCAGGTTGAAAGCTACTGCAATTCATCTTCACTAAAAGCTAGTTCAGGCTTGCCAAATGATTTGTTCATGTTCTTAGTTATTAATTTTTTCATAGAGCTGCCAAGATACAAAAATGCTGGAATCATTGCTCTATAGAGGATGCCACCTGATTATAAACAGAACGATCAAATCCCCTCGTAGGAGTTGTGCATGGAAGATATTTGGCACTGAAATCAGTTTAGGTATAATCTTTTCGGGTGCTTAAGTGTTTCTAGGGAGACTAAGGCCAGTGTATGAACTTCTGCTAAAACTGTGCAAAATTCCTCCTTTCTGTTGGTTATGAATCTTTTGAAGCTCATTCTAAAGCAAGCAATATGAAAGAGAAGCTGGCAAATTAAAATCATAAGAGTATATGTGCTCATGAGAATAAAAACATTTGTAAATTTGACACAGACCTTGCCATAATTCCGAGGACTCTCCTTCATGAATGCTGTGCTTTATGTTTTTGTTGATACGAAGATTATCGTTTGGAATGAACCAGCTGCAGAAGTCAAAGATCAAAGCCTCTGTTACAGCTTAATCTTTATAGAATGTAGAAATGTTGGCTTTTTTATCAACCTCAATGCACTCACCTTTTTGTTAGCTTCATCAGAATGATGTCACAGCATACGCTGCTGAGTTTGCATCTCTTTGGAAGCTGAAGCTATAAGCAAGGCATCTGCTGTTTTAAACTGAATCTCTGAACCGTGGTAGTTGCACAAAACACTTCCTTCATGCATATTCATGAAAACTAGTTTAAAATCTGGTTCACCCTATCCTGAAATTGACAGTGAGAACAGAAGTGAGGAAGTGTGCAATCTAGAAGTGGGGATGATGAAGGAGAAAAATGCTAACTCACCTTTTGCTACCTGCTTTGGTTCTCCATCTCGATAGATTAATAAGCATTGGACCAAGTCCAGATTGTACAAAGGACAGGCAGTTTCCAGAATGCTGGATGATGATGGAAAAGATGAAGATCAAATCAGTGGTGTAATAAATTGGACTGTAGAAATTCTAGATAAAGATTGCCCATTCCAAGCAACCGCAGGACATTTTCTTCTGACAATGACTGAAAAACGGACCATCATCTGTGACATAAGGTTTTCTGCAGGATGGCAGCAAAGCAGAATGTGATGGCAGATGTTGCCAAGAGGCAGTGAATTGATTAAACAGAAGTACAGCAGAACAAAGAGAGATGATGAAAAATCCGTCTTTCCCTTCTCTACTTCCATTCACTCAGAAACAAAAGTATAACAGACTTACTGGCTATTGTCCTAAGTCACCACCTCCTTATTGAAAGGATACTGTGGGATTTAGTCGTGGCTTATTAGAGTTGGGGTAGTATTGTTAAGTTGTGGTTGAACATGATGATCTTTTAGGTCTTTTCCAACCGGGGCTATTCTATGATTCTATCTGTTAGCTGATGTTTCCTACTAACAAAAAGTCAGCAGACCTTGTCTGGAAGTGGCTGGTCCTCTGCATCCTGGCTGTCGGAAGGGTGCTCTGGGGACTCTCCTCTATGCTGGGACATCCCTAATGAGATCTGCTCCTAATATCACACAGTCCCTCCACTTGGGATCATCTGGGCCTTTGTTTTATGCCCAAGAAGTCAACATAAAGTCATCTCTTTGCCATCTTCCTGATGATCATCCTCCTTGGGTTTTGAAGGGTGATTTAAAAAATCAGCCATTAAGTAGATAATGCACTTTGTAATTTTCAACCATATTTTCTTCAAAAGTAACTGATAAAACCAAGAAGAATTAGCTGTAAGTTGAAAACATGACTTCACTTAGGAACTGATAATTCAATCACTGGAGAACAAAAAGAGCATGGCAGAAGGCTGTGCTTTTCATAATGATTGTTGTAGAATGACTTCTAGTTCTTCAAATTCCCAGATTTCATCACTTGGAATCTTATCAGGTGCTTGACTTCTTGGTGGTTTTTGAATGAAACAATTACTGAATGATCTAGTGGCCTGCTAATTAAATACTAGGAAACTCATTTTCCTGAAGGAAATACAAATAACCAATAGGAGGTTCAACCCAGTATCCCTACCTGATATTTCTTTCGCAGCAACAAGAAGTTAAACAGTTAGTTATTCCTCTCTGATTATTCAGGATGAGCCCTGGTGTATTCAGAGCCCTGGTGTATTCAGCCTCTTTAGCTTAATGCACATACTTAAAATGAATGTCACCATATATGTCACCCCTAGTTCACACATACAACACTCCCTTGAGCAGTTCAGCTGTGCCAAGCTCAGCAAACTGTGGCATTAAGCAAGTAGTCCTCACCTGCATGAAGTCAGCAAGCATGGGCAGGACAGAACTGACCATCATCCACCTCTGGGACTGGGCAGCCTCCATGTGGCTCCATGTAGCACTGCCCTGGGTACGATCAAGCAAGTGCCACAGCAGAGCAGGCCTGAGATATGGCAAGGTTATCACTTTCTTCCTTCACAGCCAGAATGCTGGGCTTTCCGAAAACAGTGGCAGACAATCTATTGCTTTGGAGACCAACCCGCTTCTCACCCCAAAGCAATTTTGATTGCTGGCAAGTCTCAGTAGTACCTATTAAAACTGCATCTTAAAATGATCTCCACCTACTCTATGCTGTGGTTGCGTTGGTCAACTGTTAAGATAAATATTTATCCCATCTTGGTCCTTCTAAGGCAAGCAACATTCAAATCACCTTGAATTTGCTGTGTTATTTAGTATTTTCACCTTTCAAGTTCAACCTTTTTTTTCTTTTAGCCTAGACATGGTTATATCATGAGTCAACCCAAAGGCAGCATAAGAAAACGTCACCACAAATAGTTGTGAGAAAGGATCTCAATTTTTGTTAAA